TATATATATATACACACACACACACACACACAAATGCTCACCTTGGTCCAGTCTGGTTTAATTCACAATAACATTGGAAAGATTACACATGACGTTATCAGAAATATTGTTGACAAGTTTGAATCAAAGTTTGTTTTTTGTTATTCTTAGTTTATTCTTAATTTTGGGGGATTTTGGACCGTTTTCCCCAAAAACCTTAATTTATCTTCAGCTGAATAAAGAAAGTCCTATACATTTTGGTGTGTAACTAAATCAGGAAATTCCTATTTTAGGGTGAACTATTCCTTTAAGACCTTTGGATGGCACAAATATCAGGATGTCACATATAGAAAAACCTGTTTAGTACAGCAATTCCACATATGCTGTATTAATATAGCATCCCACATATCAGGAAACCTGGATGCTGACAACTTGGATAAGAAGAGGGAAAAATAAAAGAGAAGCGAACAGCACATCATGTAACCCAATTCATTAAGATAACTCCTTTTTTTATAAACAATGCAAATAATTCTTACCATTTTAGACAATGCAAAAAGAAAAATGCGTGCATTCCAACTAAACAGACTCCTAAGATGTGCAATTAAGCTTACTAAATTAACAAAAGATGCATTGCTACAAAAATAACACACGTGTATCTTTATTGCATGCATTTAAATTAGACCTTGAAATTTATTAATCAATTTAATGGTTAAAAACAAACCAGACTTATGCATGGATGCCCTTCGTTTACGAAATGCTACAAGAAATTAAGCACAAGTTACATAAAAAACGTTTTGTTTTTATAGCAAACAGTGTCTCAAAAACGACTTAATTGTATCATTAGCAATCATATTGCATGCATTCAAACCCTTAAAGGGGTCATATGATGCGATTTCATTTTTTCCTTTCTCTTTAATTATAAATGGCCAGGCGCAGGAGAAGAGGCAGCCAATCAGATTTGAGCTCGCGTGTCAACCCAAGACCAACTGTCTCCTGCCTTTGACAGAAGGATTTTACCTCCATAATTCAAATCCCAAAGCAAAGCAGCCCGCTGCACTTACTCACAGCTCCCAGCCTGTTTACACACACACACACGGCCGAAAAACGCCTCAAAACACACCCAAACGAGACGCGTTTCAAAGCAAGCCGAGCTTAACGGTTTACGAGGCGACAGTGTTCACGTTTAGCCCCCAGATGCTAACATATTCGGTGTTTTTAGCACCGGAGAAGAGCCAGGGCGAGGGTGGGAATAAACTAGCCGTGATCAAACAACTAGCGATAGCATTTCGCACTAAACCGAACCCAAAACACGTCCTTAAACTTAACGACAGAGCTGGGCTTTTCATGAACAGCATCTGTGCTGGAGCCAGTTGTATAAACATAGCCACCATGTTAAGAGCTAGTTTGACCTAACCATGTTAAGAGCTAACTAACGTTAGCAGTTAGCCAAGAAATCACCAGTCTCACTTTTCCGATTAAAATTGGGCCAAGCTACGTTTCTGTAACTGACTTATGACCAGTCTAGATGAAAACACATTAGACGGCTGACCTTTTAAGACTAGTCTAAGCAGTTTACGCACTGCTCTTCGCACGCAGCCTCGAAAACTAGCATTACTTCCCAATTCCTCGTGCCCCTCTCACCCCAGGACACAACTAGCCCAAAGTGAGACAACAACGCACAGAAACACAGTTCAGAAATAGCTGCTTATATGGACTGTGTTCGCTGGAAAAACACAGGCAGCCATTTTAGAGCAGACTGAGAAACAATGGCAGACTCGATCTCTCTCAAGCAGCCGAGCGCGGAGTTAAGCAAAGTTTACCTGGCTCCTGTTGAGGGTTTGTCCGGTGTTTCCAGGGCTCATGGGAGGGGGGTGTTGGCTTCTTTGTTGCCAGGCTGGATGCCCCCCGCCGTACTGACCTATGTCCCCCGCTCCTTTGGCAGCCGCCTCCTGGCCTGCGAACTCCGCGGCGGGGAAGCTCTGGTAGCTCCGGGCCGAGCTGGGGGAGGTCAGGAGCTGGTTCAGCGTCGGCGTGGACGTGGGCTGAGGGGTCCCCATGCTGTACCTCTGGCTGTTGTAGGAAGCGGCCGTCACGTTAACGTTAGTTCCTCCCGGCGGCGGTTGCTTGCCCGGCTGCACCCCGGCTGAAGGCGGCTGGCTGTTTCGCGGGGAATTCACGCCGTAGCCCTGGCCCTGGTGGTACGGAGTCCGGTTGGGGAAGGCGCTGTAGTTGTTAAAGTGGTTCTGGTAGCCGTGCTCGTGTGAATTGGGCGGGTATGGGTCGATCCCCGCCGGCCCTGCCATGCCAGGGCTTTGTTGTCCGCCATGTTGATGAAAAGCGGGCCGGTTGTAGTGCTGGTTGTAGCCGTACGGAGGCGGAGAGAAGGCGGCCGGGTGTTGTGGAGCCATACCGGGGTGGTTATTCCCGTCGGGATCATTCTGGCTATTGTTATTGTTCACCCTGGACGGATTCCCGTTACCGTTCTTCATGTCAGGTTCGCCTGCTCCTCCTCCTCCTCCTCCCCCGGCAGCAGCGTTTCCCACATCGGCCCCGTCGCGCAGCTCCTTCTGTCCCGGGGATCCGGCGTCGGTGCTCTCCTGCGGCTTCTCTCCGAGCACCGGCTCGTCCTGCGGCTCCCGCTCCGGTTTTCTGAGATCGACGGGCGGGCTAGTGTTGAGAGTGGCGACCTGAGCGGCCATGATCTCTCTCTCCCTCTCTCTCTCTCTCTCTCTCGTTCACCGCGAGTCACTTTGAATATAAACACAACGCTCTTATGAAGACGTTATAAAGCCCGCGTCCCGTAGCATTCCTTCCACTTTCAGACCGGAGTCGGTCTTCTCTCCCGAACGCGGCTCGAGTGGAAAAAGTTTCCAGGAGAATATAAATAAAGGTCCCGGGAATGGATTTAACCGACACCAGAGTGTGTGTGTGTGTGTGTGTGGAGGGGGCCTCTTACAGACCGAGAGCGAGAGCGCCAGAGAGAAACCGATCAAACCTGCACGAGGCTCCGCGAGACACAGCCATTTTACCGAAGCGCGTGGTCACGTGCAAAACGCGTCGCGGAGCGCGGATCCGGAGCGGAGCGGGAGAGAAGTGTGTCATCTCGAGGTACTTTGACATAGTTTGGGTTCCAGCACGAAATACGCTTGTGAGCCTCGGCGTTTATTGTGAAATAATGCATGAACTACGTGTTATTATATTATATTTTCTGAAACTTTTATATTATATTATTTATATTATACTTGACCCTCTAACACTAGCAGTCTCTGTTCTATTTCTATTATATCTACTTGTTTTCTTTTTTTTTCTTTTTTTATTACAACAACAAAAAAACTAAAAACACTTGACCTTTAACACTTGCACTTTTTACAATACTTGCTTTCTTTTTATATAAAAAATGTGACCCTGGACCACAAAACCAGTCATAAGGGTCAACTTTTTTTTTTTATCGAGATCTCTACATCATTTGAAAGCAGAATAAATACGCTTTCCGTTGATGTATGGTTTGTTAGAACAGGACAATATTTGGCTGAGATACAACTATTTGAAAATAATACTCAAATGCTATAATAATATTCAAAGTCTATTCAAAGCTCACTGTTACAAGAGGAGGGTGCTGTTTCCAGGACATTATGCAGTTGCCAGTGTGGTTGTTATGGTGTTCAGGGTGTGTTGCTAGGTTGTTGCTAGGGTTTTTTGGGTGGTTGCTAGGTGGTTGGGTGTCGGCCCACCTCCATGTATTGATAATGCTTTTGTATCTATGCCTCAGGTTCCTCTTAAGCTGGCATTTATTCACCCATGCCAAGCGAAAATGTGTCTTCAGGCACATTTCAAACCGTATAACTGGAGATCTCATTCATGTCCACAGCACAAAACGGTGTGACTTACAAGCTTGACTTATAAAGGGCAAATGTGTCATTTCAGTGCCAAAGTGGCATCAATTAGAATTAATGATCAGACTAATGGCTGTTTTCAAACAGGTTTCATGAACACTCCTCCCATCTACCATTGGTCAGGCAAAAAGATAAGCCCCGCCCCAAACTCACGCATGGTTTTTAAGCCATGTTGCTGTGTTGGGCTGCCATGGTGCTCAACGAGGAATCAGTTATTTTTATTTACTATAATAGTATTTTATTTATATTTTGAATCAGCAACTATTTTTATATTGTCAGTTTTCACTTGAACATTAGTAAAAAATTTTAGTTTAGTTTTATTAGTTTTTTTTTTTTTTTTTGCTTTAAATTATATTTATTTCAGTTTTAGTAATTTTAGTATTAAAGGGTTAGTTCACCCAAAAATGAAAATTAGCCCATAATTACTCACCCTCAAGGCATCCTAGGTGTATATGACTTTCTTCTTTCAGACGAATCCAGTCGGAGTTATATTAAAAATGGCCTTTGATCTTTCAAGCTGTTTCATGGCACTCAGTGGGTGTTGCATGCATCAGTCCAAAAGAAGTTAAATAAAAAGCGCCCATCCATAAAAAAAAGTGTCTCACACGGCTCCCGGGGGTGAACAAAGGCCTTCTGTAGCGAATCCGCATCGATTCGCTACAGAAGGCCTTTGTTCATCCCCCGGAGCCGTGCGAGGCACTTTTTTTATGGATGGGCGATTTTTATTTAAGTTATTTTGGACAGATGCATGCAACACCCGCTGAGTGCCATGAAACAGCTTGAAAGATCAAAGACAATTTTTAATATAACTCCGACTGGATTCGTCTGAAAGAAGAAAGTCATATACACCTAGGATGACTTGAGGGTGAGTAATTTATGGACTAATTTTCATTTTTGGGTGAACTAACCCTTTAAACATTTTATTTCAGTTAGTTATCAAGGCAACTTTTCAACTTTTTTTTTTAATCTAATGTTTATACTTTATTTTATTTCAGTTAACAAAATATTGAAATATTTAATATTTTCAGAATTAATTTTAATAATTTTGTTCTGTTCTTTTGTCATTTTTTTAGCTTTTGCTTTTAAAATATTTTTATTTAGCTTTAATTGATATTTATTTCAGTTTGCAGTAACTTTAGTACTATTTTAGCACATATCTTTTTTTCAGTTTGTTGCTAAGACAACATTTCTAATTTAGTTTTAAGTTGAAATTGTTCATCTGATTTTTACATTTAATTTCATTTCAGATAGTGAAAATAATTTGTAGTAGTTTTTGTCTTAATTAACAATAACGACACTGCGAGGAATAACAGTGCCACAGTGTTTACAGTGTCTCTCAGTATATTAAACTGGGATACAACAAGGTAAAACATTTCACACTTCATTGTTCAGGATGAGGTGTTCCTTCAAATTGTGGATGCCGCTAATAATGGAATAAAACAATTATACAACAAAAAAATAATACTTAAACTATTCTATATCACATGAATGTACAACAAAGAATTGCTAATATACACAAGTGTTTAGGCCCAAGTGTGTTCTTGCATATTTCAGACAGCAAATGAGAGGGTTTATTGCAGCAGCATTATGTTTGATCTGTGCAGAGGACAGCATGAAATTACAGCCTGTGTGCTAATGTGTATGTGCGCATGTGTCCAGAGAGAGAGAGAGAGAGAGAGGGATGGAAAGGGAAAGAGGATGGGGGATGGACCGAGAGCAGGAAGTGAAAATGAAAAAAAGTGAAATGCAGCGCAAGCCAGAGTGAAAGAGAGAGAGAAACTGCGTAGGCCGCAGCAATCAAATCTGGCACACCAAATCCAACCCCAAATTCAACAGCGCAACGTGTTTTTGGTTTGGTAAAGAGATAGAGGAGAGCTTAGAGACAGCTCAAAGTAAATAACCAAATGGAAACAGCCATGCTCTTTCCCCCACTCAAACACTGCTGCTCGCTCCCCACCCCCTCTCATTCTCTCTCTCTCTCTCTGTGCTTGCAGAAGCAGCAGAACTTTGCTCTCTGGCTGTGGGGGATGGGAGGCTCTTGCTTCAATGCAGAACCTGCGCCTGCGCCTGACTGCTGCTCACAAACTGGTTTTTACTGTTGTGAAGTAAAATAGAGTCAAAACGCTGTTATAAAGGCGCTCATGTGTGTGTTGTGCGGGGGGAATGTAGACAGGCAGGCAGCAGAGGGGGTTGGGATCTCTCTCTCCAGCGTTTTTGCATTTAAAATCAACTTAATGTCTGTTTCAAAGCATTTCTGCCATTACTCTGGCAAGTTAATATTACCGTTGGTGAATATGAAATCAGAATTGCTTTGTTAAAGGGGTCCTATTACGCTTTTTCGCTTTTTCAACTTTAGTTAGTCTGTAATGTTGCTGTTTGAGCATAAAATACTGAAGCTCTATGGTAAGGGGCATGACATTTCCTGACCAGGCATCGAGTGCTGCCAATCACAGCACACACTGGCCCTGCTAACCAATCACAGCACACACTGGCCCAGCTAACCAATCACAGCACATTTCGTATTTCAGAAGGCGGGCCTTCATTTGATACAGGAACTATTCGAGCCGTTCATGCCAGACTGGGGAGAGAGGTGTTGTAATAATGTAAAATATGTGAAAAATAATGTGTTTTTCGAACAACCTAGTATGAGAGCATGTTCTAGTACACCCCCAAAACAAAATCAAGACTTTGTAAAAGAGCATAATAGGACCCCTTTAATGCATGTTCTTGCGTGCAATTCATTGGTGCACGTTTTTTTTTTCCCAAGAAAGTGTTTTTATTCATATTCCTTGATCAGAATACGTGACGCTCCCTCACCGCAGATGACACATGGCTGTCAGATAGTGTTAATGTATATAGGGACATTTCTAATTAGTCTTTGTTTTTTAGCATGCTCACATTTATTCTGGCTGCATTCTATCAACAACACATTTCCCACAATACAAACAAGTCCGACCCTACACTCTTTCTTGAGGAATATCCCATTTTATGCAGATATATGTCAAATTATGGAGGTAAAATGGTTTGCAATGGGTGGTTCACATTGACTTTTTAGTTTCCCCCATATAAATTGAACTTGTAAGGCGAAAGGTCATTAAATTAGCAATAAGCCATTTTTTGCAGCGCATGAAATACACACTTTTTCTTATATGCTTGCCTTAAACCTTAACAGTACTTAATTGTATTGAACGTGCACTTGTAGTGTATTTCAAATCTTAAACGTATATGTTTTTAAAAAAGAAAGAAAACTGTAATTTAAAACAATATATTACTAATCAAATAAAAAGACAATTAAGTGTACTTAAAATACACTTTTATGTTTCTTAAAACACTTAAGTGCACTTTTTTAATAATGTTAAAGTATAAAATTTACGGTAAAGTACATTTTAAATCAATGTTTAATATGCTTTGATTAATGTCTTGCTTTGATGAAGTGCACTTATTTTGATGTGCTGACTATGTGACTAAAACATAGAAGTGACATTAAAGTATATTTTAGTTAATCATAAATACTCGTCAGTACATTCAGCTGGACATTTTAACCATATTTCAAAGACAATTGAAGTCATTATGAAATTACATATAAAGATATATTTGATTACTACTTAAGAGGGTCAAAAACACTCTAAAATGTTCAGCTACTTCCATTTCATATAAATTCACAAGTATTTTAAGTATATTCTTGTAAAGTGTATTATTACTGTAATAAGTACTCTTTTTAAATGTGCTTCTTTTTCACGAGGGAAGGTTAAGCTGAAATCTAGATTTTGGTAAATAATGACGTTCATGGACATGTTATTTGTCAATAAACACATGAACACAACAAGAATAAACTGACGGCAGGCTATTGAAAAGGAAAGGCACATTTTAACAGCGCTTAAGCAGATAGGCAGTTGTAATGGGAAGATTTAGGTTGAATGCTAAGAATCCAGCACAAAGACCTTTAGATCCAGGGCTCATTGAACGTCGTTGACTTTAGGGGCCACGCTCCTTTGAAACGCTTGGCTCCGGCTGCAGCTCCTGGGCTTTCAGGCTGAGGGACCAGGTTGTATAGCAACAGAAATGCTTGGCCACCAGCTCTCCCCCACTTGAAAAGAGTGAATCACAGCTCTTTCCACCTACATGCAGTTCACATTCACTCTCTTAGTCATAGTTGTCCAAGGATAAACCAAGCATCTACATGCGTGCGTTTACCTCTAATTTCTGCTGTGAAAGCCTTCTGATGAACTCGGATGAAGAGC